CCCAGTGCAACACACTCTCTTCTTTCTTGCCATTGTAGGTCCAGGGCAGTTTAAGTTTTATCTTGTTAACCTGCCCGGTTTCCTGAGGAAGTTTTTCTTTCGGGTCCCCAATCTTTTTCTTCCCTTTCTTATCATCATCGCCGTCGCCTCCAGCTCCCTTTACAATCTTCTCTATAACTTCCGGAGTGAATGTTTTAGTGACATGATCATCCAAAACCTGGATATATGTCTGAACATGATGGTCCACATCCTTAGCAGACTTCTCTAAGAAGTTATTCCAGACATTTTCGAATTCAACCCGATGCGTTTCAACTCTTTGTAGGGTCTGGCGCATTAAGTTCATATCTTGTCTTGTGTTAAGCACTGCTTTCTGAGTAAAGCTAGCTGAACTTCAGTTGCAGAGGGGTCTTCCTTTTGGGCTTCTAGGGCCCTTTGCAGTTTTTCCCCTTCTGCCTGCAGTCTTTTCCTTTCATCAATTTCTTGTCGTCTAGTTGCTAGCAATTTACTGTGCAACTCAGCCCTTTTTTCTTCCATCATCAGGTTTAGCTCAACGGTATCTGTCACCGTGGCCAACTTGGCAATGAACACATCACGTTCTTCTTCCGACTCCAGAAATTCGCTGGAGTAGTAGTATTGATTAGCCCAATTCAAGGGTTCAACGGGGAGTCTCTGTGCTGTACTACTCTCCGGAATGTCGATGGGACGACGTCTTTACAATGTTTGTTCTTCCTCCTGTTCTGTCTCTTCTTCTTCTTCTATGCTCTTCAACTCTTCTTCCAACTCTTTCTCCATCTTCTCTTTCATCTTCCTCTTGACTTCTTCTTCTTTTTGTTTTTTCTTGGCTTCTCTCTCCTTTTTCTTCTCTGCCAACTTACGATCTATCTCTGCCTGCTCCGCAGGTGTAGGGCCAGGCTTCACTGTTCCAGACCGCATCAGCATGCGGGACGTGCACACACGCCCGAACCCCAGTGGGAACATAAGCCGGAACAGCGGCCCCAACAAGACAGAAAGGGCCAACAGGCCCTGGATGAGATAGTCATCCATGATGACTGCCGGCACAGGAGACCCTCCGCCGGGTCACCAAGGTACTATCCCACTTACACACTTGGTCTTATCTTGCGGTAATGAAGTACTATACTTTCCTTTTTTTTTTTTGTTTGACGGTAGAAGGTGCTGCGTACAATCAACAATAGATCAAACTAAAACGAACTTGAATATGTATTTATTTATTTTTTTATGTGTTGTCTGGCCTCCTGGATCGAACTTTTGGTAATGTGTTTCTGTTGTCTTGCTTTCTCTTTTTTTTTTTTGGTAATAACTTGGCTGGTTGCTTGGTGCAGATATGGAGTATAGCGCAGAGAAGTCAGATGCAATTGGTTCACTCACCCACCCAGGCAGAGATACTTCTTATACCCTTTTCTTTCTTTCGGGCTTAACAGGCCCTGTAGATGCTCAATAGCATCCTTATGCTGCCTGGTACATGCTATCTGACGTGGCACATAGCCACTTCCCACATCGATCCTGGGTTCTTGATAACGATACCCAGTCTGCCTATCAAGAGGGATAGGAGAAAGACCTACTCCTATTCGCAGAATACTGGACCACCTACTCTAGTGTGACCAGTTCCTGACACATCACACTTGGGTCATCAGACTCTGACGGCTCAGACCTGACAGCTATGACAACCCAGATCCAGACTTCGACTCTTGACCAGATCAGCAGCAGTCACCTTCAGACGGTCAGAGAGAGAGAAGGTAGGGGACACACACATTCATGCAAGTTCAGGGAAAGGAGGTGCTTCTCTCTTCTTGAAGATACCGTTGATGATGCTCCACGACGCTCCGCACACTCCAGGTAAGTAGACTTTGCCACTTCTTCTTCGGCCTGCTTCCCCCACTATCAACACTCTTCTTCTCCTCCTCCCTCCTTCGCTATTCCTCCATCACCACTTCTTCTCGCCGGCCTTGATCATACCAGCCCTATGAGAGTAGCGAGCATCTGCTCCGATACCAAATTTTGCATGGGTCCTGGGGACCCTTTCACGCAAGTGTGTACATGTCATGCATCATCCTCACACACCATGATCAACAGTCTCAAGTCATAGACAAAGG